TTTTTTTTCAGTTTAATTTTGTTTGATTCCTTAAAGATACTAGTTTCTACTTTTCCAAATTATAATCGCCAATAATTCTCCAGGAATACTACTGTATTTTTTATTCTTTACTGTTATTGTCATTTATTCATATACACAATAGTAGCAATAATCTTGAGCAGTCGAAATCTTTCACATTAATTATATTTACTGATCATTTTTTATATATTTCGAAAATTTTTAGCTGTCCCTGTCAGTGTGTCACCGTGCACCCCATCGCCATGCGGTTTCAACGCGATGTGCAAAGAACAAAACGGTGTAGGCTCCTGTATCTGTTTAGCCGATTATATAGGCAATCCCTACGAAGGTTGTCGCCCTGAGTGTGTCGTTGACACCGACTGTCCATCCACAATGAGCTGCATACGCTCTAAATGTCAGGACCCTTGTCCAGGCACTTGTGGTACAAACGCAGAGTGCAAAGTTATCAATCATCGTCCTGCTTGCACATGTATTCAAGGTTACAGTGGAAATCCCTTCCAATATTGTACTTTGATACGTGAAATAGGTATGAGTACACTCTCAATCGTCCTTGCATTTAATTTAAAATTTGAACTTAATTGGAAAGAGTGATTGAAAAATAAGGCAGTATATTAAGTAATATGAATTTGCATAAAAATCTAATTATAAATTATCATTTTGGTATCAAATTCAGTTCTAAAATCGAAATACCAAAAAGAAGTCACTCTTTCGAAAACTATCAAAATATTTCACATGATACTAATTAAAATTTTATAGAAGATGAGACAGTATACAAAGATCCATGCAACCCTTCATCTTGCGGACCGAACAGTCAATGTCGCGTTATAAATGGCCAAGGAGTTTGTTCATGTTTGCCAGAATATACAGGAACGCCTCCCATGTGTCGTCCCGAATGTGTTCTAAACTCAGAATGTCCACAAAATCGCGCGTGCATTAATCAGAAATGTGTGGACCCATGTCCTGCTTCCTGTGGAACATTTGCCACTTGCGTAGTTAGGAATCATAGCCCAATTTGTGCATGTAGAGAGTTATATACTGGGGATCCTTTCATCAGATGTTTCCCTGTTCCACGTAAGGCATTTTGAAACTAATTTAAATGTCGAGATTAATTTAAATTACTTAGATTTCTCATTTTGTGATTTTTCATTTAGAATCAACACCACCTACAGCAGTCGAAGTTTCACAGCCCTGCTTGCCTTCACCGTGCGGTGTAAATTCAGAATGTCGCGTAATCAATGGAGTTCCATCTTGTCAATGCCTACCAAATTACATAGGAAGTCCTCCAAATTGTCGTCCAGAGTGTACAGTAAATTCCGATTGTTCCCCTAGTCAAGCTTGTATGGGAGAAAAATGCAGAGATCCTTGTCCAGGTTCTTGCGGTTTCAATGCCCAGTGTAGAGTATTTAATCACGTTCCTATGTGTTCCTGTATCCAAGGATACACTGGCGATCCTTTCAGTCAATGCAATCAATTAATCAGTCCTCGTAAGTAATAGTTTCTCAGAAATATTCTTTATTTAATATTTTCAGTCTTTATTTTGTCGTCTTCGTTCGTTCTGCTAGAAGAATTTTTTAATTATTACCTTTGATCTCCATTTAGTTAACTCTGTTCCAGTAATTTCTAATCGTCTCATTTACGCAATTTTGTTTTGGACATTAAAAAATTATTTAAAATTTTGAATCTTCAGCTGAACCGTCGGAGATAGATTTATGTAATCCATCTCCCTGTGGACCAAATGCTATATGCGACAATGGAATTTGCTCTTGCATGCCTGATTACTATGGAGATTCCAATATCGGTTGTCGACCAGAGTGTGTACTTAACAACGATTGTCATCGAAACAGAGCTTGCGTGAGGAATAAGTGTGATGATCCTTGTGTCGGTGCATGTGCCACTGATGCAATTTGCGAGGTGGTTAATCATGTTCCAATGTGCAGTTGTCCTGCTGGATTCGAAGGGAATGCCTTTGCATTCTGTCGTCCAGCTATAGGTACGTCGCTATTTTGGAAAATGAACTTCCTTAAATTTCTTTAATTTAACACGTTCGCTATCGCTGTTTGTTCAAATATTAAATTTTCACGTATATTATTAAAATCAGATAAATAGTCAATATGAGCGATTTTTATAATCACATACATCACACATATATATATATTTGTAACAATATTATTTTTATTTATTCATCGAAGTATATTAATAATTATGATTTTACATTGATCCGTGGTAAACTTTATTTCGAAGTGACAAAATCGTGCACTGTTCGAACAGTAACATAAAATAACTATGAAAAATGTTGCAATATTAAAAAAGTTTGTCAGTGTACGAACTGCACAGAAGCATCTCTTATTACACATTACATTTAATAGCGGACGTGTCAGCCAAATCAAGATAATTAATTACGTTAAGAATGTCAATTAAATGAAAATCTCCTCACAAATAATTATATTTCAACAGCCGAACTTCCATCTAATCCATGCAGTCCATCGCCTTGCGGACCTAATAGTCAATGTCGAGCGAAGAATGGCCAAGCAATTTGTAGTTGCGTACCAGGTTACTTAGGAAACCCACCAATTTGTCGTCCAGAATGTGTGGTTAGCTCTGATTGTCCACCAAATGAGAGTTGTAGTAATCAGAAGTGTATAAATCCATGTGTGGGCACTTGCGGCTTGGCAGCTCGTTGCACCGTCGCGAATCGTAATCCTATTTGTCATTGTCCTGAAGGATTCACGGGAGATCCTTTCGTTAGGTGTACTCCACTTCGTGAGTTTTCTTTTTTAACTCAGGGATTCAGAGCGAAAATGGTACAATGTTTTTAATTCAAATGCAATTAAACCAATACGAAAAATATCGTTGACATTACGGTAATAGACAGATATTGAAACGAAAATAAAATTACACTTGACTAAATATTTTTTGATCTCCAAATATCTCTTTACCTTTTTGAAAAAAAATACACTTGTACCAATATTTGACTGAATCTTTCATATACCATAAACGCTTAAATATCTCCAAAGACTTCATATTTAAAATAAAATTTATAGCACAAGTTCCACCAGAACCGATAAATGTTTGCCAGCCATCACCATGTGGACCCAACGCTCAATGTCAGATATCAGGGAACTCACCTTCCTGTAGTTGTCTACCTGAATTTATCGGTACACCACCATATTGCAAGCCAGAGTGCATCAGCAACAGTGAATGTCCTACGAATTTAGCCTGCATAAATCAAAAATGTCGCGATCCTTGTCCCGGTTCCTGTGGTGCCAATGCAGAATGCAGAATAATTAGTCACACACCTATGTGCGTTTGTTCTCCTGGTTTCGTTGGTGATCCATTTGTACAGTGTATTCCAAAGCTAGGTAAGAAATATCAAAGAGATCTTCATTATCCATTATAGAATGTGTAAAAAATATTTTGTTCTCAAATGAGTTCCTTGTAAGAGAAATAATTTCAAATTTATAGTCGCCCAGAGTCCAGTAGAGAAATTCACCCCATGTATACCATCTCCCTGTGGGTCTAATGCAGTGTGTAACGAACAAAATGGCGCAGCGTCTTGTAAATGCATTGCTGATTATATCGGAAATCCTTACGAAGGCTGTCGACCAGAATGTGTCATTAATTCTGATTGTTCAGCTAATCAAGCTTGCATTAGGTCTAAATGTCAGAATCCTTGTCCAGGATTCTGTGGATATAATGCTGTTTGTCAAATTGTTAATCATACTCCACTGTGTACTTGTCAGTCTGGATACACTGGAGATCCGTTCGTTCAATGTAACGTTATTCAAGCTCCACGTAAGTTTTTTAGTATAGTAGAATTTTCTTCTCTTCGTTATTCGAGAATTTACTATTTGAATGTTTCATTGTTAGAATTTTCTTGTACTTGAACGTTCTATTATTTGAACAGCGTATGTAGTTTTTTTATAAACTTAATATGAAATTGATATCATATGAGTTGATATTTTATGTAAAAGTATCAAAGGAAAAATATATGATGATAATTAAATTGAGAAAAATGACAGAAAATAGTAAAATTATCGTGAAAATCTTGTTTCTCTATCAATTTGGATATCTATCTTTTTATCAATTTGGTGGCACCACTGATGTTTCAGAGATTACAAACATAATATTAAAATTAAAAATCTACATGAACATTTTTATAGCGGAACCAGCTGACCCTTGCAGTCCATCTCCTTGCGGTCTAAACAGTCAGTGTCGTGCATCCAATGGACAAGCTATTTGTTCATGTTCACCCACATTTTTGGGATCTCCACCAATGTGCAGACCAGAATGTACAATCAGCACAGACTGCACAACGAACCGTGCTTGCAAAAATCGCAAATGCGTCGATCCTTGTCCTGGAATTTGTGGTATAAATGCTAGATGCGAGGCCATTAATCATAGTCCGATTTGTAGCTGTAACGTAGGATACACGGGCGATCCTTTCGTTAGATGTTTCAAAGTTACAAGTGAGTAATTAGATCTCAGTTGTTGCGAAATTATTTAATCCATTCGAGGCTGATTTCTAATTAAAAAAATAATTCTCAAAGATTGACATTTAGAAACCTTGATGGTTTTAATCGCAAATTATTGATTTTCTTATTTATTTTAGAATTAATACTCTTATATTTATTATATTTTTAGTTATTTGTAGCATTTCTGCACGCTTGTATTTTTTCGGTTACTT